TCCAGTTCCAGGGGATTCGACAGCCTCTTCTGTCCTCCAAGGGCATTGCACAGCACGGGTGCACTTACCTATATGCAGGCAATACACACATAACATAAAATAAATTTTAAAAAAGAGAAAGAAAAAAAAAAGAAATCACAATGCAAAGCAGAAATTTCAGAAAGGCCAGATGCCTCTGCTGGCTCTGCCCTGCTATGACTGGCTGGGAGAGACTGGAAGCCAACCCACTGGATCTGTGGCAGTTCCTCTATGGAAGGGCAGAGGAAGGGCATCAGTACCAAATAAACATAGAAGAGGAATCCTGGAAGCTGAAGAAAGATGGAGCCCTGCCCAGAAATCCCAAGTTTCTATTTGTTGACTATCTCCATAGTAACTAAGGGGGCTCTCTCTGTTCAGGTCCGCACAGTGTAAACAGCCATCGAAGTGTGCAAGCAGCTGCCTCATAGCTTCCACTGTGTCTTTATGTTTTAGCCCTCATCTGTGATTAGAGGTAACTCCTCACAATTCTGACAGTCCAGAATCCACCCCACCTTGTTAGTACAGTATGAAGTAGAGGTGTTGCGTTACTTTAGGCTGCTATAACAGTCACTGTAACTGGGTGACTCAAATAGCAATCATCGCTAACAGTTCTTGAGACCGGAAGTATAAAAACGGGGCATCGGCAAATTGGGTATTTGGTAAGAACCTATTTCCTGGCTTGCACAAGTCCATCTTCCTGCTCTGAAGGAGATGAAGGCTCTTCCGTGTCTTCCTATAAAAGTACTAATCCCATTCATGGGGGCTCCACCCTCCTGTCCTCATCGCCTCCCAAAGATCCTACCTCCTATAGCCATCACCTTACGGGTAGGATTTCAACATATGAAGATGGGGGCAAACATTCAGCCCATAGCAAAAATTATTTCAACCTATGCTTGATACCATAGTTAATACCAACTTGTAGTGGCTTAGATGTGGCTCAGTAATAGAGTGGCTGTTTGGCATACCTGAAGCCCTGGGTTCCACTCCCAGTATGAGATGAGACAAGAAAGAAAGAAAGAAAGAAAGAAAGAAAGAAAGAAAGAAAGAAAGAAAGAAAGAAAGAAAGAGGAGGGAGGGAGGAGGAAGGAAGGAGGGAGGGAAGGAAGGGAAGGAAGGAAGGAAGGAAGGAAGGAAGGAAGGAAGGAAGGAAGGAAAGAAAGAGAGAGAAGAGGGAGGGAAGGAAGGAAGGAAAGAAGAAGGAAGGAAGGAAGGAAGGAAGGAAGGAAGGAAGGAAAGGAAAGGAAGGGACATTCACAGACTCAGAAATGACATGTTTAATTGGTTTAATCTTGTTATCCAGCAAAATTCTTAAACAAGATTACAGGAAAAAATATATTATTATAAATAGAAGTAGCTAAAACTCATTGACATGACTCCTATTAAAAAAAATCACCATCTTGAGGAAGTCATCCTCTTGATCTGGATCTACAAAGGATCTCAGTCTAGACCTAGAAAGCACCCTCTTGGTCTAGATTTCTAAGGCAACCTCTTAGTCTAGAATTAGAAGACATCTCCTTGGTCTAGACCTAGAAAGTGTCTCCTTAGTCTAGACTTGGGCTGCTTCTTTTCTGTTCAAAATAACCAATTTGCAGACTCCTCAAAGTTCACAATCAACAACAATCAAGGGCAAGAATGTTTGGCCAAGCTATATTGGACTCAATGGGGGGAAAATGAACTTCTTGAAGTTGGGTGGGTCGGGAGGTGGGGGTGGATCTGGGAGGAGTTGAGAGAGGGGAGAAATATGTTCAGAATACATTTTATTGAGTTCCCAAAGAATTAATAAAAGTGGTTTTTAAAACCCAGGCTGTCAGTGTCCCTCAAAAGGTCCCTCAGGAAGGGATCAGGTGTGATTAAGCCTGACTCACAGATTCAAGCTGGGCTCAGGCAATCCACCGAACCCAGCTCCCCAAAGGAGGTAGGAAAGAGCATCTACTCAAGGCAACAGTAAAGGTGACAGAAATGTATGCCCTGCCACAACCCCTCTCCCCCGCCCCCGCACACAGAGCTTGGTAAATCTGAGCTTCTGTCGTTTTCTGATGGGCATTGTGAGGGAAGGGGCACAGCACAGCACATCGGCTCTCAGCAGACTCCTCGCCTCCAGCTAACCTCTGTGTCATGGCCAGTCTAGTCTTCAAGCAAAGGAATTGGAGGAACCCACAGACCTCTGCTTCATTAGGAACTCTGCAGCTGTGGGTACACCAGCAATGGATGCTCCCCACATCATCTGTGATTTCCCTTTCTGTAAATATGGCAGTCAAGGCATGAACAGTAGCTATTTCATTTCCTTTTTTTACATTTGTGTGTGTGCGTGTGTGTGTGTTTGTGTGTGTGTGTGTGTGTGTGTGTGTGTGTGTGTGTGTGTGTGTATACCATGGTGGTACATGTGGCAGTCAGGACACAACCTGGAAGAGTTAGTTCTCTCCTTCCACTCTCTGGGTCCCAGGGATCAAACTTAGGTTCTCAAGCTTGGCAGCAAGCACGTTTACCCGCTGAGCCACCTCACCAGTCCTTGTTGCTGTACTTTATTAAAGATTTAATAGCAATGTCATGCTGAAAGCTGAGCTTCCCTTGAATGTGACAGCTATTGTTTTAGCCACTTTAAGTGGAGCATCCTCAGAAGGCACTGCTGCTTCCAGAATCAGACTTTAATTTGCCTTTATGGCTGTGGGCACCACACATGATCTGCACTGCACTGAGAAACTTGATGTTCAGACTGACCATCCTTGAAGCACAAAATACTCCTCTGTGTTTCTACATCTCGGGTGTCCCATCTCTACTGTAACTCTCTACCTGCTCTTCTCTCTGAATCTCAGTGCCAAGAAATCAAATCCTTGCCAGGAATTTCAATTCAGACAAAATCCTGAAAGCAAGAGAGGAAGTCCTGAGAAAAATGAGACAGCAGCTTTCTAGGGCCTCCAAGCATCCCTGAGTCTTCATCCTTCTGACACACCATATCTTTTGTCAAGTAGATGGTGGATAATAGTCTCCTTCCTCAATGTCTTTATGTATTTCTCAGTGGCCCTGACAGTGTCATGTGGCCATGCCTGAGCTTGTCACTTAGGCACTGTGATACTGGGGATGACCATCACAAACTCACCCCTGCAGCCAGAGTTGGTCACTTAACAAAGTTAAGGGGTGGCTTCCCCCACAGAAATCAGGATGCATTTACCAGAGAAGGATGAGATGGTAATCTGACTTACTAAATTACACATCATCCTATCATGATGTCCTGCCCAGGAAAGGGTATGTGGCTAGACTATTCAAGTGAAGTTCAAATCCTGGGAAATCCCACAGAATCCATAGGTATAAAAACATGTTTTCCAGTGGTCTGTCCTTCTGTGCATTCACCTCCTACCTCAGGGCATCCACGGGTCTCCTTACCCCATCCCTGTGCCCATCCATCTAGCAGCACAGAAAACACTTCCCTTAGGAGCCCCCTGCCCAGCTCATGGGGGCTTTTGGGGATCTGACTTCGGACTTTTGGATTCCACCTCTCCTGGCACCAGGTCAGCATGTTCTCCTGGTAAAAGACTTGGCTGCTGCATTCAACATAGGAGACAAAATGCCTCACCCACCCACACCTAGAGCGGATGGCCCTTGGTGTAGGCAATGCAGCTCACACTTACAGCCTGATGCTATGGCTGGCCACCCAGGACCTCATATGCTGCCTTGACCCATCTACTCCCTAGACCAGCACTGCCCCATGAGCCCCTCCTAAGATGATGGGAATATTTGTATCTCTGCCATCCTAAATGGGAGCCCCTGACCATATGTGGCTACTGAACATTTGAAATGAAGCTATATAACTGAGGAACAAATTTTATTTTATTTTATTTTATTTATACTCCATCTGATTTATAGCTAAATAGCCACATGTGGCTAGAGTGCTTAACAGTGCAGCACTCCTGAGAAGGCAGTCTGCCACATGGTCTAATGAGCATTTTAGTGTATATTTCCTCCATGTAAAGAGGACAGATTTGGGGCTAGACAGCTCAGCGGGTAAGTGTTTGCCTTGCAAACTTGAGGACCTGAGTTTGATCCCAAAACCCCCAGGAAAAAAGCCAAGCATGATGTGCTCACTTCTAATCCCAGCACTGGGGAGACAGGATCCCTGGAGCTCACTGGCCAATTGCTGTTCTCTTTTGTTTCTTCCTGGTGTTAGGGATTGAATCCAGGGCTCCCCATGCTAGGCAAGGCCTTTTGAGACAAAGTCTCTCATTGGTCCTAGTTGGTAAGTCCTAGGCCCAATGAGAGGCCTTGTCTCAAAAAGAAAAGGTAGATGGCAGCCAGGTATGGTGGTACATGCCTTTAATCCCAACATTCAGGAGGCAGAGGGATCTCTATAAGACTGAGGCCAGCCTGATCTACATAGTAAATTCCAGGCCAGCTGGAGCTACAGGGAAACTGTCTCAAAAAAAAAAAACTGGATGGTGTTACAAGGTAAGAGGTTACTCTTACCTCCACATATACATACACACATGTAAATGGCCAGCAGCACACAAAGTGCACCCATACACATGAGTACTCATAAATACACAAGACAAATTTTTTATACTTTTTAGTGAATAGACCCCTTCCTTGTTTTTTGGTTTTTTGTTTGTTTTTTTTTTCTTGTTTTTGCTTTTTGGGTGTCTTGTTTTGCTTTGGTTTGGTTTTTTGATACCGGGTCTTCCTATAGCCCCAGCTGGACTGGAACTTGCTATGTAGCCCAGACTGGCCTTGACCTCAAAGAGATCTACCTGCCTCTGCCTCCCGAGTGCTGAGGTTAAAGATATGCACCACCACGCTTGGCTTTTTCCCTTCCTGCTTTGTCCTAAGGATTATGTTCAGCAAAAAAGAAGCATGGAGGCCTAGGGTGTGGCTCCCTGGCTCCCTGGTAGAGCTTGCCTAGCATCAGGAGCCCTGGGTTCAATCCCTAACACCAGGAAGAAACAAAAAACAACAGCATCAACAACAACAAAAAAATCCTTGTAAAAAGAGAGTGCACAAAATAAAGCTTTATTTGAATGCCTCAGTAGATCATTCTGAGAGCTTATATCAGCAACCTCGAACCCAGGCCATTTCCTAAATGGCACAGTAGCAACAGTCAGCCAAGTTCGTCACATGGCTATTTATTACTGATCATAGCGAATGTCTATGACTCAATATTTGTGCGTACTACAACCACTCCACCTCCTGGAAGTTTCAGGGTACTTGCTCCATTACCCAAGAAGTCAGCACAGGTCAAGTTCACAAAAAGGTACAGTACTTCAGATCCCTCTGGAATACCCATGTAACTAAGAAGTTCTGTAGATGAACAGGACAAGCTTCCCCTGTCCCTAGGGGCTGTCCCACCCTCAGCAGTCATATGATTAGTCACACATAGCTAGGAAATAAGCATTTCATAACTTCACACTTTTCATCGCCCACTAATGTTTAAAGGACTTAAGGCACATTGAAAAAGAGAGATATGGCCAGGCGTGGTGGGGTGCACACCTTTAATCCCAGCACTCGGGAGGCAGAGGCAGGCAGATCTCTGTGAGTTCCAGGACAGCTGGGGCTACAGGGAGACCCTGTTTCACAAAGACCAAAAAAAAAGAAAGAAAGAAAGAAAAAGATATCTTGCTTAAGAGCGCCAAGTATATCACATGGACCACAGTGGTTCCCATTCTCCTAATACAGAAGGGACAGGTAGAATCTTCAGGAGCCCAGTTCAGGCCAAACCAGGGCCCTAATAAGTCACCTGAGTTTTCACTGGCTCCCATGAACAGTCTCACATATTTGAAGCAGTGTTGACTTCCTACTAAGAAGCACCTGGGTCGGGGGGGGGGATTTTTCCAGATCACAGTTTGGAGAAACAAACCCAACTGACATAATTTCACAAGTAAAGGAGAAGACATTCCCCCCGTATCTTGGGCATTAGGAGTTAGAGGTGTGCAGCTCAGAGGTAGAGCACTTGCCTAGCGTGCATAAGGCCCTGAGTTTGATCCCTAGCACTGAAAAAAAAAAAACAAAAAAAACAAAACAAAACTGTGTTCCATCACAGCACAAGCCAAATGAACCCATTATTGGAGAAACAGACACCAGGAAGTGGAAGTGGGCATGTGCCACCAGTTGGCAGGATCTCAAGATGCTGTGTGTCAGCTGCAGACCCAAACGTCTCTCATCACACTAAATGATCATGAAAAGCACACTCTGATTATCATGCTTCCCAATGGAGGAAAAGGGGTTTGTTTGTTTTTTTTCTTGACTCCTAAGGGTTACAAAGTATGTGTATAAGTAAATTTTCATATTACACTTCAGTGCTTGGACATTATTCTCCCAAAATAGAAAAGTACCAAAAATAAAACATCTGCCTTTTGCATCTAGACACATCTGGAGAAAACATGATAGCTTTGGCTCTGAGTCATGAGCGGCCCTCTCCTCTGGGCCTCTGGCTGCACTTTGCTGGCTCTTTGCAGACGATGATGACTTCGTTCCTGGGAACCAGATGGAGGACAAAGGGAAGAAAGCCTACCCTCCACAGGCCTCCCTCCGGGCCTCAGGAGGAGGAGAGGGGCTTCAGCCCCATTTAGAGTGGTAGTTGGGTCATATGCTGGGAGGGAATAAGCCACCTTTGGAGTTCCTTTTAATGAGGACTGTCAGGGGTTTGGTGTGGCTTGTCTGAACACACAGGCAGAGGCACACTTCTCACTTGGTGGCAGCCCGCTGGTCTTCATACTTCTGGAAGGCACTCAGGATTTCTGTGATGACATTGGGGTCCTCCAGGGTGGTAGTGTCACCCAGATCTTGACCTCTGCTGGTAATAATCTTCCTCAGCAACCGCCTCATCACTTTCCCAGATCGGGTTTTGGGGAGACGCTTCACCACCTGGCAGGAATGGGCAACGTCAGGGTCTTGGAAGCACCCACTCGTACCACTATCTGACTGCACTGAGGTAAGGGTTCTGTGGGGGGTTGATGCTCCTCCTCACTGGGAACTTAACAGCAGCTGCCTGATATGTGGGGCCAAGGTCTTAACGCCCCTGAAACCTGACCCTGAAGCTGAACTCAGTCCAAAGGATAGGCTCTAACCTGAGACCAGGCTTTGCAGAAGACCCCTCCAAGAGGTTTGCCAGGCCTAGTTTGCTTCCCATGATGCCTGAGTGGGCTCCCCAGAGCACCCAAGCATGTGCCTAGCAGTTCCTTTCTATCCCCAGCCTGAAACTTAGATGGTTCTGTCTTAAGAGGTAAAAGCCACTAAGCAGAAAATTTTGTCTTACAGTCTGATGCAAGTGGTAATACATTAAGAGCTGTGTTCGGGATTTTTGTGTGTGTGGTGGTATACTGATTGGAGATTAAACCTCAGGCTTTGTGTATATGAGATTTTTAATAATGACTGTTTTTGGAGATAGTTCATCTAACAGCTCCAATACAAAGGGAGCTGGACCCTTCCTGCCTCAGAAGATCCCAAACCCAGAAATCACTGTGGGGAGATGTCAAGGAAGGAAGAAAAACTCTGAAGGGACTGAGGGGTAGCCCAGGCCTCCACTAGGAACTAACTCCTTGCTGGCAATAGGAAATGCATCCAGAAACCACACAGGGCTGGAGAACTCTGGTGCTTTCTATGTCTCCAGCTTAAAATCTGTAATTTGGCTGAAATATAGCTTAGTGACGGAGTGCTTGCCTAGCAGTCCCAAGTCTCTGGGTTCAGTAGTGTTATGGTTTGAATCATAAATGCCTCCCAAAGACTAACTGTTAAAGGTGCAGTTGTCAGCCTGTGATACAATTGGGAATTAGTGGAACTTTTAGGCAGTTCTCTCTCTCTCCCTCCTTCCCACCCTCCCTCCCCCTCTCGTCTCTCTCTCCTTCCCAGCTACCATGACGTGGGAAGCTTTGTTCTGCAACATGCTTCTATTTAGTGCTGTTATAGGCCAAGAAAGCAACACAGACAACTAACTGTGGACCACAACAGTGAAATAAACTTTTTTGGCTTTTAAGATAATTTTGTCAGGTAAGATAATTTTGTCAGGTGTTTTGTCACAGAGATGGAAAGCAAAGACATACCTAGCACTAGGAAAAGAAAATGAAAATCTCTAACTCTCCTTATCACCCAGTCTTTTGCCAGCCTCCACAGGTAAAGAGCACCTAGCCTTGCCCAGGACTGTCCTAAACAGGTGAATGCCAGAGCCCTTCCCTATCTCTTATTATCCTCATCTGCCACCCAGGGAAAAATGCAAACCACTATTGGCAATTTTGAAGCTGGCAGAAAAGGAGTCACATGCTTATAAAAATTCACCATTGCTTGGCATTTGTGGGAAGCAAAGGAGAGTTAAAGAGAGCAGAGCCACCCCCTTGAAGGAGAGTCCACTCACCAGGATCTGGTCAGGCACGGCGTACTTGGCGATCTTGGTAGCCACTGCAGACTTGAGTTCATTTACCACCACGTTTGCATCACTGGCATCATCTTTTAGCACAATAAAGGCAAATGCAGCTGAAAGGAGAACAAAGGTCCCTGAATCCCTCTTGAGTCAGTGGTCACAAGCTGCTGTGAATGCACAGGGTTTCTAAATCCTGATATGGTGACATAGCTGGTTTCTGCTGCTGCTACCCTAAAGACGCACAGCCGCCATCCACCAAGGGGCAGCCAACACTAACAGCTCTGTGTATCCCACATACGCAGTCACGCATGGTTGAGAGCTTGGTACAGCTGCAGTGCTGACCGGCTGTGTGTGACCTGGGACATGTGACTTATGCTCTGTTCCCTCAGCTGTAAAAGAACCCATGATGTGGGCCACCTGAAGATGGACACAAGACTGTGCAGCAACACACTGGCAAGCACTAGCTTCAAAGTCCCTGGCAACAGCATAACCACTTACCACGGTGGCTGTTTAACTTAAAATGCATTCCCCAAAGTTGGGGAAATGGCTCAGTCAGTAAAGTAGTGGCTTCCCAAGGAGAGGACCTGAGTTCAGATCCCCAGCATTTGCAAAAAAAGTCAGCCAGGCATAGTGGTACATGCCTTTAATCCCAATTCTAGAGAGGTGAAGACAAGAGGATCCCTGGAGCTTTCTGACCAGCCAGCATAGCCAAATCAGTGAGCTCCAGGGCTCATGAGAGACGCTATCACAAAAAATAAAGTTCAGGGCAACTTAGCAAGACACTCAAAATGGACCGCTGACCTTTGCATGCATGCACACACACATGCACATGCACTGCACACACATACATGCGCACAGACATGCACGCACCCACATGCATACACATAAATGCATTCCTCAACTGCGTGACCACAGTTCAAGTACTGGTTAACAGCAAGTGTGCCAGGGGCTGCTGTGTTATGCAGTTAGATAGTTCCACTGAGCAGCAGGACCATTACATATGTCAGCACAAACACTGAATAGTATTTTTTTGACATCACAGCAAGTTCTAGAAAGGGTGTGCCATGGCTCCCACTATCCCATAAGGATCTAGTCTTACTCTTTTCCCTATGTCCCTGTCACCATTTCTTATGGCCTGCCCCTCCCACTGACCTGCGTTGTCCCTCTTCTCACAAAGCTTCTGTGCAGTTCTCCCTGTTATTTGTCTGTTATTTGCACCACTTCCCATCTTCCAAATGAACCCGCCCCCTGCACTGCTCACCTGCCATACTGTGCCTGAAGCCTCCTCATTGACCATGCTTACTGTTCAGTGTCTCTCTCTCCTCTGTTCACTGAGCCTCACCATGATGGCTCCATGAGGGCAGAGATTTGTCTGCTTCACATTGACTAACGTGTCTCTAGCATCTAATACCATGCCTGGAATACAGCAGGTGCTTGGCAAATGCTTGTTAAAGGCATCGATAAATTATTGTTTCCTGCACAAACTATGATCTGCAGCAAACCACAGCTTTGACCCGAATGGCTCCCCCATTGCCACCTGACGAACTCCTATTCATCTCTCAAGGGCCAGTTTAGTTACCTTATACTCTGTGAAGTTTTTTCCTGACTCTGTCCATGAGATATAGTGTTTGGTCTATGGGAGTAGTTGATAACCTCATATGCCCCACCCCACCAGGTTGTGAGGTGTTCAGTGGAAGGAACTACATTTTTTTTCATCTTGGCAGTTAACATGTATTGGAAGCAGGCCTGGGCTACTGATTCCAGAGACAGAGATTAAGGGTGGAAACCACATGGAAGGAGAAGCAGGGTAAGACCCAGACAGAGGGGGCTGGAGAGATGGCTCAGTGGTTAAGAGCACTGACTGCTCTTGCAGAGGATCCAGGTTCAATTCCCAACACCGACGTGGCAGCTAACAACTGTCCATAACTATAGTTCCAGGGGATCCGACAGCCTCTTCTGACCACTGTGGGTGTTGCATGTCTCAGGTTATTTCTTAGGAAATAACACATTTTCTAGGTACCTTCCTGTAGTTGTGATAAGTACCATGACCCAAATCAGTTTAAAGAGGAAAGGATTTATTTCAGCTAATAACTTGCAAAAAAAGAGCCAGCCAGAGTTGTGCAAGGCCCAGGTGGTCAGACACCAGCAGAACAGGAGCCTGATCAGAGCCCACAGGGTTCAGGTCCTAATAAAACGAGACCCAGGGCCTCCCATCCCCCAAAGGGAGTGGGGAGAAACATGCAAGCCAGTGGGGAAGCTTTGGCACTAACCCAGAACTGAGAATGTTCACTTCACTGTGAACTGCAAATCTGTTAGAAGCCAGGACAACACCTAGCAGCACAGCCACAATATGTAAATTTCCCCCAGCCTGGCAGGCATTGAAGGGTTGGGCAATGCCTGCTGCTAATCACCGCTGCTGGGGCAGGAGAGGCCCAAGGGCCCAGAGACTGCCAGGCATCAGGTGCCACACCTAGAGAGCCCTTGAAGAACCCCCACACGGGCAGAGCGGTCAGGTCAGAGCATAACCCCAACATGGTCTGCCCAACCTAAAGCTGCCCTGATGTAATGCAGTGTCTTTGATCTTGCTCTTAGTTCTGGGGTTCATCTAGGGGCTGACAAGCACCAGGACAAGGTGGAATATGCCTGGAGTCACAGGCCCCTTTCAGCAGCCCTTGTTCTCTCAGGGTCAGAACTGTATAATACTGACTCTGTCCTGCAACTCAGATACACTGGGCTTCCGCAGCTTCCAAACCGTGGGAACCTGCCAGTGCAATACAGACCCTTAGACCACAGACATGTAAAATTCAGGGGTCTCCAAAAGTGGGGTCCAGGCCCCCTACCCTCCCAAATGAGGTACCTTAAAAATCACCCATGAGGAATTGCTTTCTCTCACTGCTATCCTCTTCCCCGCGTCTGTCGGGACATGCCTCTCATGGAGGGTACTCCCCACAGCTCTCCCACATACCTGTTTCTCTAACAAAGCCACAGCCACCTCATCAGCACATTGGCACCATGGCACTGGAATACGTTGTTTTTAAAGCACTTGATTGAATTTTAAATTTTTCAGTGAGTCAATTTAAAGAAAATAGCTGAAGGGCTGGGGTGTAGCTCAGTCGTAAAGCGCATGCTTAGCATGCATAAGGCCTTGGGTTTTACTCCTGGCATGAAAAAAGTTAGAGTGTTTGAGTAAATACTGGAACAGCAGGTAAGAGGCAGGTGACACTTGGAGCAAGCTGTAACATAGGATGTCTCTAACAGAAGGAGGTGGAACACTCAATCTCAGGCCAGGGGGCAGGGTAGACGAGGTCATTCTGTGCAACAATGACCTCACACAGCCTTAAGGTGCAACTAGGTCACACCAGGCCACTCCAGGGTGACCGCTCTAGGCCTGACACTGCAACACTCAAATACCTTTTCCATACATAGCCACTTAGGAATCAGCTGGCTCTGGAAAAAAGTGTCTTTGGTTTAGAAGACCATTCAGATCTCTTGCTCTGCCCTCCCCCATTGCATTACCATGCAGTGGGAATCAGGTCAAGTTTCTCCAGAGTCCCAGGGCCTCACAGCCTGCTCCAGGGCATAGCCCAATGTCCAGGCATGGCAGCTGCAGAGCTGGCACGAGTCCTAAGACCAAGCAGGTGACTGGACTGGCGGGGGGGGCAGGGGCATGTATGTGGTTTGGAAGGTGGCCCAGCCAGAGATACTAGGGACAGAGGAGACTTCCCAGGCTCAGTCAGGGGCCAAATAGGTCATGGCTTCTTGTGGCTGAGTGTTCTTAAAGGTCAGCAAACCTGGGCATGCAAAGCTCTGACCCTAGCCTATTGTGTATCTTGTCCAACTTCCTCACTCAAATACCCAGTTGAGAGAAAGCAACAGTGTGGCCCATTAGAACCCCATCTCTGCACCTTCAAAGCCCCGTCATTCCTTCTGCTGGGCTCCCCTGCTCAGCATGAAGCTAGGCAGCAGAGAGGAGCAGGACACTCACCTTCTCCCTTGATGTCGTGAGGGTACCCAATGACAGCAGTTTCTGGCACAGCGGGGTGGTCAGCCTGTGCACAGCAGAAGACAGAAATGCCCTGATGTGACTTGGAGTGCTCATTGTCACCCTCACTCTGATATCAACAGAGTCATCATTAAGGTGTCAGGCAAAGGAGTAGGCGGGCTGAGCTCACCATTGCATCCTCAATCTCTGCAGTTCCCAGGCGGTGGCCACTGATGTTGATGACATCATCCATGCGCCCCGTGATTTGGTAATATCCACCTTCTGTACGGTGAGCTCCATCTCCAGTGAAGTAATAGCCTGCACCACAGTGGGGCATTCAGCGCCACAGACTCTGAACCAGGCCCCAGTAGAGAACTCAGCCTTCCAAGAGAGACAAAGAGCAGGGCCCATGTTCCAGCCCCACTCTAGAAACTAACTCCAAAGGCTGCTGGGGTTTCCTGGCCTATGAACCCACTCTAGCAACTAATGCAGACACGTCTCTAGGTGGCACCTGGCTGTGTCCTAGTGAGAGGGTAAGTGGCACTGAGACAGCAGTACATGAATGATGTCAGGACCACAGGTGTTCAGGGAGCAGAAAACAGACAGCAGCATAGTTGGAAAGCCCCATAAGATGAGAGTCAGCTGCAAGCTTGAGACTGAAAATTGTAAGGCAGAGACAATGGCATTCACACAGACCTCTAATGCAACAACTCAGAGGAAACCAAGAAGAAAATGAATGTAAACTGAGAACATCAGCCTGTGTGATAACTTTTCAATCATGTTTCTTTACTCACCTCTCCTAGCAGCTAACAGGAAGTTCACCCCCGGCCAGAACCATGTGCTAACAGCCATGTTCATGTTACCTGACCCCACAGAAGCTCCTTGATAGGCATGTCCGCTCCAGCTGCTCACCTGGGTATGCTCTGAAGTAGGCATCTATGAACCTCTGGTGATCACCATAGATGGTCCTGGCCATGCCTGGCCAAGCCTGGGAGATGCATAGGGCCCCAGAGACATCACCGCCCTCCACGATGTTACCCTACAGACCCAGAGAGATACTTATGAGACACTGGGCCAGCTCTGGGAACAAAAGCAAAGAACCAACCATCACAAACATCCTGACTACTCAGCCTGAAGCAAAAAAAATAAATGAATGAAGAACTGACTGGAACTGTCCAGAGCTTTCCTCCTGAGGAAGTCTGAGGAGGGCTCTGGGCTCACAGCACTCATCAGCTAAGCTGTTTGAGAAGGGGCTGCAGGGAGTGTATGAGGATCTGGCCTACTCCAGGGAACAGACCCTGCATACCTGACAAGGGCAGGGAACGGGATGCCAGGTGAGTAGCAGGAAGCATGTGAAGGGGATGAGCTCTGCAAGGCCTCACATACCTTCTCATCCATGAGCGCAGGGACAATGCCAAAAAAGGGCCTCATGGCCATACCCGGGAGGATCTCTGCCCCATCTTCCGAGGGCCGAGGTGCAATGCAGATGCCACCGGTTTCTGTGGGGAGGAAGAAATACCAATTGGCTTGAGAATCAGAGGTGGGTAGCTTCCAGAATGTGTCCATCCAGGGTTGGACTTCAGGCTTCTCCACCGTGGGCATGAGCAGGACCCTAAGCTCTGCATTCAGCAGATAGGCACTACCCTCTGCTCAGCCGGCCCTTGCTGTATCGGGCCCTTGCTGGAAATGGGAAAACGTGGAGGCCACCCACTTGCATAGGAAGGCAAAAGAAACAAATTGCTTGAAGCCAGGACCCATTTGATGTACAGCAACGAACAGTGAGGCCCATGCAGTCATCTCCTTGACACTTGCGTCTATGGGCTATATGAAACATCTCATGAGCCTTGCTGGAAATGGGAAAACGTGGAGGCCACCCACTTGCATAGGAAGGCAAAAGAAACAAATTGCTTGAAGCCAGGACCCATTTGATGTACAGCAACGAACAGTGAGGCCCATGCAGTCATCTCCTTGACACTTGCGTCTATGGGCTATATGAAACATCTCATGAGACCTGGTTGTGAAAGGCTCTCTGTCCATGTCTTCCAGCAGGGACAAGAGCTGTGTTATTCGAACCTCTCTCATGCTGGCTATGGAAGGGCAAGACCTCAGACAGCTGCGTTA